TTCATAAATGCTGCTGAGGGGTGGTTGGTTCCAGAGTCTGCACATTCTTAGGCTAGGGAGTTGTCGCATATTACTTTGGCTTCAATATGTGTATGTAGGTCTCATCTGGGCATGTTTTGCTATTCAGGTTTCCGTGGCAGAGAAGAGGTCAGCTTTCAAAACCAGAGGAACAACCCTGCAAGAAGTACACGAACACCCCAGTTTTTCAAAATGTGGGCATTTCTGCCGCTTTAAGACTCATGATTGGCACGACAATAGTTTGCACTACGAGGTTTGATAATTACAGGAAGCCCAAAGCTCCCATGAAACTTCCCCAAAAAACTAGGCACACAAAGCCTGGAGCGCGCAGCTTTCTTCAGTCCGCAGTTGACTCTCGGCTGAGCGGTGCAGGCATGGGCCAACTTTAGACCCTCATCCTAAACCCCTATAAGCCATGAACGCTTCCTACAATCAGCCGGAACTGGCATTCTCTGCGGCCTCATGCGGCAGCAGCCGTGCGATTCTGTCATGTCCCTGAGCAATTGCGAGCTCACCTTGCTTGGATCTTTGTGTATACTCAGTGGTTGGTAGTAGGGGATCAAGGAATGGAAGCAAAAATGCAAACGACCATCTTATCTTGGGGATTAGATGTAAGGGCTACCTAGGATCATTCCTCCATTGCACTAACACTCAGCAAGTATAGGGCTTTCGGAAGTGACCATGGTCTGCAAGTGGAATCTATTTCCAAAATTTTTCAAACACGCAAATAGGACGGCCATGTAGCATCTTGTATCTTTGGGAACCCATTGCCATGAACCCTTGAAATTCAACGCTTACATTCGCCATCGGGCTAGTTTCACTAAAAGAAGACCCCCAGTATTCCCTTGAGAAGAGACCGCAACAACGGACCTATGACTACATGACTTCGAGAAGCTTCCGGTGTGTAGGAGGCAGGTTTGAGGGGTGGCTGTTTGATTAAGGGCATTTCCAGAAATAGGGCCCGGGATAGTTTCAATTTCATATTGACCCCAAATTATGCACTCATATTTGACGTTGAAGGCCTTGGGCCAGAAACGTCCCAGTTGAATGTGTCTTGAATTCCCGGGGTGCTCTTTTCTGGGGATCGCTAACCACGTTAAGGATGGTCCTGCTTTGGGCAATAAATAGACTGTAAGACAATCATGGTTGCTCCTCTTCGGGGGCGTCTTTCAAGTCATTTGAAGAGCTGTTTTTCTGCCAAACCCTGGTAGAGACCGTTGGTTTCAGCCCTTTCTTTGTTTACAGTGTATGGTTCAAGTGCAAGTAGATTCTTAGAGGACCCCAAATAAAACGGATCCCCTGAGAAGGACTCCTGCCAATAAGATGTTTCAGGGAACCCAGTGTTTCAAAGGTATATCCCACTTGGCGGGCCTGGGCGATCCACCTGAAAAACGAAAAGGATTCAGGGGCAAACGTTGTTCAACAATTTCAACAGCATCAAACGGCGCAGCAACAAAGCCTCGCCTAATTTGTGGCCTCCAAAAAGAAACCAGAAAATGCAGCTGGCAATTCGACTCAACGAGGCGCATGGGGTGGAGCCTTGTCCGCCAACCAACGACGCATCAGCTCGCGCTCCGAGGAGCACCTGAACGATGTCGAGGTGGCCTCGGCAAGTCACCATCGGGCCACTCCCCACACAACAGATCACAACAGCAGCCCAAGAAAGCCCTGTTTTTTGCTAGTGCCAAGGAACGATGGTCCAAATCATGCATCTCTAAGGCAGTTATGCAAGGCACGGGCTGCTGAAGGATGAAACTTGTATACGGTCATCTCAAGACTAGGGATCGCGCCTCTACCCCCAATCCACATTCTGAGGATGCCTACAAACAGGGCCTCGCGAATTTTGGAGACAACCCCATGTTATGGGCCTTGGCTTTGAACCGCCCAATCCCAATCCCAAAGCAGAAGCATCTGACAACCGCAGCCCTGGACACAAGCAGGCGGAACGCCTGCACTTCAAAACCACCAGCCCGCAGTAGGAAAACCAAAGCCATGGGTCCGTGTGGGGTTCCTCTGTGTAACTCAGATTCGTCTACTTTGCTTGTAAGAGGGACTCCTAGTCTGACAGGATCCCAAGGCAAAGTTTGAAAGCTTTGTTGATCAAAGCGATGTGGGAGCTCCCTTTGAAAGGTCCCACACTCGATCTAGGCATCAGGCCTAAGAACAGCCCAAAACACCATGAACCTTGAACACAGACCCTGAAGCCCTGATATCCAGAACCCTATAGCAACTTTTATGAAAACGTAGCCAATGCCAATATCGTCTCCTGCGCTGCATGGAGAACGGACCACCTTTAGCACCACCGCTGCTCATGATTGCTTAGTTTGGGGACTCAAGAAAGGCCGTTCACCCTCACAACTCCCCGGTTTCAGGTCCTCGCCTTTGCATGCCGCCAAGCAGAGGGGAGAGTCTCCTCCATGGGCTTGAGGCGCTGGACGTAGAGGTGGAGGAATGGGGTGATGGTTCTTTGGGGGCCATATAAACATCAGCAAGCTGAAGAAGAACATCAGGTTCATCCCAAGGAGCTCTATGCTTGAGACACCACTTTCAGGTTTGAAATCTTCGAGGCATGACTCAGATCCTTGGGTTCATTGCCGAGCAACCAGGGCCTCTACTGCCTCTACTCAACATGAAAAAGCTGCTCAGTGAAGTTCTGAAAAGGCTTTCTGGGGTCATCATTGATTGGATGTAGGGATTGTATCGAATGCCTCTTCCCCTTGTATAAACGGGTGCCTACCAAGCTTCCATGCAAAAAGCGGGCTCAAACTGAGCATGACAAGCTTGGACAACAAGCAGCGAATGACGTTGAAACGCCTTTTCTCACGGTTGTATTGTCCATATAAGGTTCACTCAAACTATCGCCCAAGACCAGAAACAACATGACATATTGTTTGCGCACATGTCCGTATTCCTGAGGAACAGGCGAACAAGACTGCTTTGAACCAAAATCAAATCTGGAACTCAGGATCGGGGACATCGCATTTTCTCCCCGCTTCCATTTCTTCAGGGTACTTGCCGTTTTCCTGGAGCCTGTAACGTAGCTCAGTCCTTCCTGGTGCTGCCTCGTAAAAACCACAGCACTGTCTACGCATGACCCAGCACAACTGGATTCTGATGCCATCAGGATTTCACGCAGCTCGGAATTCCTGTCGGGCAGCGCTTCTTGTAAGAGTTTTCGTATTTGGGGGTGCATGAGTGTAACCTGCATTGCTCTCCTGCAGTTTGCTTTTGAATCCTGATTCGACAGGAACACCTCAAGAGTCAGCTCCACAGAAGACTCAAGGGGTTGGTGAAGCCCCACGCACGCTGGATCGACTCAAGCCTAGACCTTGCAGCCTAAGCTGCAAACATCCGAAACAATAGGACCCTGACACGCATACCCCATGAGCCCTCACCCTGAACCCCTGATCCCAGCTCCTCGACTGAGCTGGTCCTTCGCAGCGCGTGCCTGAGGAAGGATGATTTTGGAAAGGAGCTCTGGGGGAGGCGTAAGCAGGGCCTCAGGCTACATCTTGCAAAAAGGATTTTGACAGGAAGTCTGGAGGCCGAGGGTTTAGAATCTTTGGTTCTTCCTGAAGTCAACCGACTTTCCATCAAAAAAAGTGTGCACGTGAGTAACATTAGCTTTCCTTCCCTCCTTGGCTTCTACACACCTCCTTTCAAACCGACTTTCCTCAGCAACAAAGTCGGCACGTGAGTAGCATTAGTTTTCCTTTTTCTCCTAGTGAGGCACACACTTCCATGAAGTCAGATGACTGCCCCCCCTGATGAGTTTCGGCCGAGAATTTGGGTCACCAGATGTAGCTGCGACGTATCACGGGGTCCCGATCTGAAGGGTGGCGCAACGCAGCGTGTTCTTTGCTATAGCTTAGGCCTGGAGGCACAGCGCCTGTATTGAGAGTGGGCTTGGCTTGCACACGCTTCATGGTGCACCCCAGACCCTTGAACCCAAACCCACATCCAGAACACAAGCATCCCAAGTCCCAATCCCTGGCCCCCCTCCTGTGCCTCTAAGAGCAGGCGTACCGACTCACACCTGCCCATGCTACAGGCTCTGCCTTAGGAAGCGTCGTAAGTGCAGGATGTAAGGTTTGAGATTCTAGAATCAAGGCTAAAGCTTTACGGTGGCTTCTGATTGCGGTCATGGTTCAGGGTCAGGATCCAACGCTAGTGTGCGCACATGCCAATCTTTTTGTGCCTCTCTCGGATCCTGTGCGAAGGATCCTCCTTTATCGACGGCTCATACTCTACAGGTGAAGACAAATGAGGATGTTGGCTTAAATTGAAAATGCGGGATCGGGAGTTCATGGGGTTCGAGGAAGCCAGGTCAATGCTTGGAACACTGAAGCCCTCCAGTTGTGAATCTGAAGCCCCCTCTTCGATCCTGTCATAGGCATATCATGCATCCTTGTTGAAACCCACCATGATGGGAAGTGTCAGTGCATTCTCTCACAATGGCTACCCTTAAAACATTTCCTATGGAATTTAGGGGGCATCTGCCCTATGGGCCCTTTTGAGAAGCATCCACATGTGGAGGTACTATAGATTGTCCTCCACTCGAGCGCTTCCCCCATGCTTTTGTTGGGGTCTCTAGGATCACGGGATGCGCTAATGACCATATTACCATTCCCCACCCCACGCACGACTCAAGCAAGGCTGAAGTAAGGTTTGCGTGGGGATGCGTGGGGCCTAGGGCTTGTTAAAGAGTTGGCTGTCCTGCGTGGGAGCCCCAGCACAAGCCCCTTGCTCACAGGATATCATGTCCAGGTAGACCAAGGTCCGCAAACCTTCAAGCCGGAGACACAAAGCTTCCCCGTCCCCAAAAAGTTCCACCTCCAAATTGACACACGAATCCTAACTTTAAACGCTAGGTCCTCAAGACTCCCAAACTGCAAAACCCAAACCTCGCCACTAGCTTCTGCAAGAACCCCTAACTCGTAAAAGCTGAGACCTGAGAGCTGTTAAAATGCAAACTCAGCTGCCCAAGGGCGTTGGCCCATCCGAACGACCCAGCTTCTCTGTGTCTGCAGATGCTCCCAGCAGCATGCCTCGATGACATGGTTCGAGTTTAGGCTTGGGGTTCATGAGCTTCTCTGTTCAGAGCTCGGGAAGCTTCTGCGTCAGAAGCTATCCAAGCCTTGCCGCTCTCTGGGGAACAGCACTTACAAAAAAACTTGGGCGAAGGCGCAAGGAAGCTAGCTGGGACCCAAAAATCAAACTGGTCCCAGTTAGGACAAACTGTCCACATTGAACAAGATACGCGCAATGTCCACGTTGCCTTTCCCGCTGGCCATGCCTAGCGCTGTTTCGCCTCGTCCAACTTTGTCCTTGCCAATTGCGTTCCTTGGCTTTCTGTCATCACGCGAATCAAGGTCCAGCAAGCAGCTATGCCATACAGACCCCTAACATGGGCCAGCAAATTGCCTGTTGAAGAACTGGGTTGTCACAAGCGCAGCGCATACTTGTCTACAGGCAGTGTATAAAGACCAAGGTTCGCATCAGCATTGGCCGCTAACAGCAAGCGCACAGTGTCCGTGTGGTTGCCTTGGATTGTATTCTCCAGCGCCTCAACACCTGGACCTTTCACAATGACCACAAGGAACCGTCTGCTTTGGAAACCCCTACCTGCGCAATGCTAGTTTTATGGTTGTTCCGTTGTACTTCTCCTGCCAAGCATGATCCAAATCATGAATCGGGTCAGCATGACATTCCTGTACTCCGCACTTGGAAGTCTAACATGAAAACCCACGGCAAGGGAAGAATTAAAACAAACACTCAGCATACCGTTCCAAACCCTTGCCCCAGAAATCCTAGCAATGCATTCTCAAACAACTGGGAAACAACAAGTTTTCCAGACAAATGCAGATGACCTGTCGATGCCAGCAGCAGAGGTGTTGACTCTCGGCTGGTCTGGTTGCAGCTTGCACGAGCACCCAGCAGCGAAACAACAATCCTGAATAGGAATTTAAGTGCAGGGTTGGGGCAGCTGCCCTAAACCCTCAACAAGAAGCCGGTTTTACGGAAGTGCCCTTCTAGAGGAGAACACCCAAAAAAACAGGACCATTACCTCACACTGCCGCGCACATTAGTCTGAAAGGTTGTCAAAACTGTGATCTCTTTTTTGGTAGCCAATGTCTGCATATGCATATACGAAAGTTTAATGTTATGTCAATGTACCGTATAATGTACCCCTCAATGGGGCACAATTTGGACAACCATTCATCGCATCAGAGGGTGCAAGCACTGCATACGTCCTTGGGGCTTTTTGAGAGGAGCTCTAGTACAGGTCTTGGAGGTCTACAATTGGACCCTGGGCAATTGGTTTAGTAGGGTCAAGATCTAGGACATAGGAACCTAGGCTACGCAGCCTAAACCTCTCATCCTAGACAGGCAAGGTTGGTATGTGCAACATATTGCGGCAAAGCTCTCGTGGTGTCCATGGTCACACGCGCGACCCAAGGGCGTTTCATCTTGAGGGGAGCATAGCCTGTCTTGGTCGGCACGCGCCCGCAAAAGCGACTTCACCTTGCATGATGTCAGAGAGTTCTCCCATCTGTGACAACCAGCCCAAAGGCCTATCTTCGCGTCCTAAGTCCGGCCTCCTACCCAAGACCCTATGTCAAGGTCTTTTGAGACTTGTACTGCCTCCAAGGCATCATCATCCCTTTCTTGAAGCAGGAAGGGCAGCACGGGAGAGTTCTGGTTCTGGGCGTGGGCTTTGGGTTTACCCAAACCCTCTTGCTCTGCCTGGTCTTGCAGCTCAGTGTGGGGGCCTTTTCGTACATCGCCCTTAACGGGAGCGTGCACATGGTCAAAGCTGGCCATAGGAGTGCAGTAGGACACACTTTGTTTAAAGCCATGTAACCAACTCAGAAGCCCTGCACCCCAGAATCCGGGAACACCTCTACTCTAAACTGTCATGCAGGGAGCGCAGCTGCCTCAAACCCTATACAAAACCCTCAAACACTTCTGAAGTACGGAGCGCAGTCGCAATTATGGAGTTTCCACGCTTGGAAGCGTCTCCCAGTGCTGTCTCGATGTGAGGCTTCTGAGTTCTGTTTGGATCAGCCCGTGCCTCAGCAGAATCAGCATGTTACAAATTGGCCTATCGGAGAGCCCTGGTGTGCAAAAGCACAAAATACATGGCCACAATGATGTAAGCATATCACAAACACATGATTGGACACATCTGAACAGGTATCCCCGAACCAAAAACCTAGAAAGAGTGGAAGGCCTTTACTGAATACCCAGAGTCTGATCCTTGTTGGGGTACTATCTTGCTTGACAACAACATCCTCATTGAGAGCTTACAGGAAAAATCACCCTTCTTTGCAACCATGACCTAGATTGTGCTTGAAAAGCTTGGCTCAACCTGTTTGCCCAACCCTCCTTGTGCGAATTAGACCTGAGACTCGGCTGTCCAGGCAAATATGTCCCAACTATACCTGTAGTGGAATCCGAGCCATAACCCATATTGGGGGACCTGGGGTTGGGTTACAAAGCCTTGGTAACAATGTAACACAAGGTAGGCTATAACCTAAAAATGAAACTCCCTGAAGCCTCCTGTGCCCTGACCTCCCAACAAATAGATGTGGGCCGTTCTCAAGATGCTGTGTTCCCCCACCCCTCCTTATGCTTACAAATTACAATACGGCACTTTGATACAAGCAGTGCGACAAAGATGGGACACTGATTCTAATACTAGACATGCAAAGAAGCATCGTTGCGGCCTTCTCAGTGTTTTTCGTGCTTCTCACATGTCTATTACAACGCAGTGGAATTCGCCAAGCTTTCTCAGGCACTATCCTTCTGAGAGTTGAGGTGGTTTACTGCATGTCCTAACTCCTGACGACAACGGTTTGTCCAACTGCCTCGACATATGGGATTTAAGAAGGGGACTTGGAAGTAGGAAGCCTTCTATCCTACATTGTGACAAATTCCTTGAGTGGCTCGAGACAAAAAAACAAAGCCTCTAGCTTGGGAATTAAAGGAGTAAGAGCACACAAACGCCATTTTTGCAGTCTACAGGGAAAACCTCGCTCGTAGGGTCTTACTTTATCAGTGGCCCAACTGGCTTGGGCTCACGGACCTTCTGGACAAGTCTTAACCCTAAATCTGCGTCGGACAAGCATTAGATTTCCGAAGCTCCCTCCGCATACTCCCCACCTCCTCAGCATGCATACTCCTGACCAGGCTTGTTCAAATCAAATGTAAACCTTCTAGGGTGTTGTTGCATCGGCTCCCTACACCGGTAAACGTAAACCCTAAATACGAACCCCAAGCCATGCACACCCGACGGCCCAACGGCCTCCAACAGCAGCTGCACCACTTCAGCCTGATCCTTCCGAACTGCCTCAAGCCTCGACTTGGCGTGTAGGGAACAGCTTAGGATGGGCTAGATAGTTGGCTTGTGTTACAATGTGGGGTCGCGGGTGTAGCTTGCCAAAGCACCATGGTAATTGGCTTGTGGTTCAGGTGCAGGACAAGTAGCTCTCTCTGATCGAGGCTTTAGTTTACAAAAACCGTGTTGCTGTAGCAATTTTTAATGATTCTCCTTTGCTGTTCCTCCCTAGTTACTATATATTGCTACATCCTATAGGACAGGACCAGGACTACAGGACCTATAGTCCTGCTCCTGCTCCTACCACCACGCTGACATCAGTAACAACAGCTACTACATAGCCAACTAGAACTCCAATGACAGTATGGTCTGCAAATGCTTCTAGTGCTTGGCAAATGGCATCCGAGGAAAAGTACCGAACCCCAAACCTCGAAACTGTGGGAGGCCTTTTTGGGGAGCCCTCTAACCCAGGTGAGCAACAATGGGCTATTGCTGACCTGAAGTCCAAATGCTCCATTGACATCTGCGCGGGCGGACAGCAACGCTCGGACCATCTCCTGGGATGGCGTTGTGCTGAGTTCAGGGTTTGCAGTGCAGGATCTGAGGTGGGATGGCAACATTTAAGGCTCAGGATCTATAAAGTGTATAGGGTGAAAAGTGGAAATAGCAGCAGCGACCTGAGAATACAAAAGGGAAGGACCGACCGTATTCGCAAGATATGTTTGAGGTGGTTTTGGGGAGACTGGATTCCAGTCAACAGTCAGCGGAGGAACTCGCGTCGCTAAGGGGGAGCCAGGCATCAGGATTTGGGGTTCACAGTGCCCAGGCGTCAAACCTACTGTGTCATCACACCTCACATTGCATCAGCAGATCATCTGCATGCCTTGCTCAAGAAAGTTCGCAGCGCCACACGTTGTGTCCCATCACTTTAGAATTCAGAGGGCAGCACGCTCAGTTTTCTATCCCTTCTGGCAACATGGGGAGACTGGGACGTTTAGGAAGCCTAAGTCGAATTTGATGTGTCTACATGACATCTCGGGTAAAGCCTGCCCCCAAAACTTCAAACAAGTCCTCCAGGCCGAAACTCTTCAAAACCTTCCCTCGAACTTCAGTCTTAGAAGCGGTCTTTCCAGCAGAACTAGCCCAGGATAACGGTGCGCCTCTATCCTGGGTGTCGTTCGGCTTTGCAAGTGATTTAGGATCTATTTGGGGCCCAAAGGACTAATTACCAGGCTGGGGGTTGAGGACTCCGTGCTTCACAACCTAAATGGACTTAAACTAGGTGTTGGGTGGGCTCTGTCTAAGTATACGGGGTTCTTGCCGGGAGCATGAACCCTTACTCCATGCTCAGACGGGATGTTGGAATCTTGAACAAAGCCGGGCGTGCCTGTGTAGCGCTTGGGTAGGCCTAGAAAGTGGATGTAACCACGAGCCGCTCGAAACAAGTTTTGCCTTGCTGGATTCTCTCTCTTGCAAAATACAATCCTAGGGCCCGCTCCCCGAGGTAACAAAAACAGAGGTGCATCCGAAATAGTACGGATCTGTGCAGTTGAGGGCATTCTGCATGGCAGTACAGTTGGCATATTCAGGCTTACCCAGGAGGTGGCCCGGGATGGCCCTCCGGGTTATGATACAAACAGAAAATACGCTACATGGAGGAAACTGGACCAAAAATGCAGAAAAGTCGTGTCAGGGATCCTCTAACACACACAGCAGCCCGCTGTAGACCTGTCGTATACATTTTAGGGCGGCCGTCTTTTCCACTCGCCATACTGGTTTGTAGGCATTGAGGGAACGGCTCCCTAGCATCATGCCTGCAAAGGCCACTTAAAGTTGTCGAGTGTTGCGCTGTGTACTAACCTAGTTGTACCTTCCCTAGAAGCCTGGCTAGATTCGTACTCTTAGCTGCCCATACTTGAGAGAGATCAGCAAGCAAAGCAATGCACTCACAGTAAAGGCACTATAAGGATCCCTCCGACCAACAGAAACCAAATGCTTAGAAGGACCCAGCATCTGGGTGAGCGCCAGCCTCAAGCAGTAGACCCCTTGGCCGGGCTTCCTAAATGTCAGGGGTTCCCTGTAATACTGGAATTCTCCGTCTACAAGGAGGATTCTTGGAGATATGTTGGGATAGAAAAAGGAACCTGCTTTTGGAGAGACACCAGAATTAGAATCCCTCCCTGCCTGCAAAAAGGAAAGTTCCAACTTTCTGTACAGCTTTATAAGGTTTACTGATAAAGAGAGGGGGACGACCCTTCCCAAATAAACATAACAAACAGAACAACAGCCTTAAGACTAAACCTTCGGCTGTCCAAAGCAAAACTTGCTGAGATATCAGCGGCACATGATCTCAGCGTGGTCGTTTCTGCCTGGATGCGCTCACACCCTACACTCTCCATGTTGACACAATGTAGGCTTTGCGGGTGCACGACACAGCAAAGCTACACTCCAATGTCTCGAGGCAGCCAAAACGGGTTCTACGCGATGACTCCTGTCAGGCCTGAACACCCTCGAGTCGCCTACGTGCAAATCTCCTGAACAATGTTTTCGGGATGCCCCAGGACCGCACACGCCGGAGTGGTGATACTGTTGTTTGTCTGCAAATCTGGGAGTCTCTACTCGGTGGATGCTACATGAATCACCTCTTCATGAACCGCCCACCAGTCCGTTGGGCCGTTGGGTTAAGTTGTCATGGGGAGCACTTACTATGGAGAAAAGGGAAGTAGGCGCTCATCATTCCAAGAAGCCGTCCTTCGGCGGCCGCTGAAGGAGCTTCAGGCCATAGTACAGTAAAACCCTATTCTTCACAAGTGAGGCTTTGTTCTTTGGAAGTGGGGCTTTAGTTTTTCCACCCTGAGTTTTGGCACCTAACCCCTGTGTTGCACTGAAAACCATTCTTG